GACGAAAAAAACTTTTATATTCAGATCACCATCTTGGTGGATGGACTCTCATAGTGTTTCAGTTATGGGGTTCTACTATTAGACACATATGTGCCTTACGTAATGACGCTTACGTTTTCTAATAATACAAAACAAGCTTGGATAGGCAAGCAGTTTGGAAATATTAGGCACGCAGTTTGGGAAATACATGTGAATATAGGCTCGCAGTTTGACAAGAAAAATGTTTAAATCACGTTTATGGCGTATTATCGTTTTGAACACAAACTATGCTGCTTTAATCAGATGGAGTGATCCTATATATTCCAGCATACACAGACACAATGGCTGAATAAACGGCAAATGACGATAAAAAGACATAGATATAACTTTACACTGTAAATTTTGAACACAGAAGTTACTTAAGACCCTTATATTGAGATAACTAGGTTTACATCGGGAACAACATTGAGTACTATGAGTAAATTAAGTTCATCTTCACAGAATGGTACTATCTTTAGAACGAGACTAACCTTGTATTTTTCGTATTTTGGCTCTTTTTGGGAGTCGTGTCCTCCCCGTCTTCCATTTTGAAATATGCGCGCAGTTTGTCAGAGTTTCAAACTGCGTGCCTAGTAGGCACGCTGCTTGACATGGGCATCGTGGTATACTGACAGGCCACTAACAATCTTAAGAGGGCAATAACTACCCCAATAGTTACCATCCACATTAATGTGTATAGGTCAGGGTCATTAACAACTTTGGTCGCAAGATTCGTTTGTGCATAGAGAGGAGAAGTGCCCACTTTGAGCATGTTTTGTAAAGTACTGATAGTTTTTGACACAATAAACAGATTATCATCAAACTCTCAGAACAAAATTCATATTGAATGAACTAAATAATTCTAAATTTTCGAGGCAAGATTGACCGAGTTATTCAACTTTCTTACGGTCCTGTTTTTTGGACACCCTGTATTTTATCACCTAGTACCACCAAGAAGTGGGGGTATCTTAATCCAGATAGGGTCACTAGGTGCCACGAAACTCCGAACGCACCCCTCATCGAGTCATAAAAAATCGAAAAAATCGACTCGAAACCATACTCTACTTATACCAATTTGCAAAACCATATTTATCTTTTGCTAAATTTTGTCTTGGATAACGCTTGGAAAAGGGAAATTGTACGGGTCCCTGTTATGATACGGATATTTAGAAATAACATGAAAAAGCCGCTCATTATTACGGCTTAGATAATGGTGCAATATTGACTACTCTGTCCGATACTACATTAGTAACACATATCAATCATGACATAAAGCTAAGCTAAAGGACGATATCAGAGCACAACTCTAATGAATTCTATTTCTTAAATATTGAGTTTAAATTGAATAATTTTTATGAGATTTTGAGACGTTTTGTGTTTCCTTACTTTTTCATTATAAAACAATTTTGGTTTACATCCCAAGAAGGTAGATATAAATATATTGTTGCATTAATGAATTTCGAGTCTCTCAGTGTTCTTATAGCAGTACAGCCAGAATCACTAAATCATAGATTCTAGTTTTTAAGAAATAACATAGGCCTATATCGTATATGCATTTGGTATAATATAATCGTCTCCCATCAGCTATTTTTGCCATTTAAAAATTGTATTGGTTTTATTATATTGTATGATAATGCATTGTGGTCGACTAAACCAACTTCATTCATTTTACTTTGAAAATCATCGACGCACCAATAACTTTTCACTTATACAGTATTTCCTAATGGTAAATGTTCCTCCGTATAGAATTAAGCATTTATTTCTTTCCTCATTTAGGGAATTCAATTACCAGTTCAACCATCCCTTGTTTGAAAGCCCTGGTTAGTATTATGTCTTTCTCAACAGCCATTTATGACTTTTTAAATAAAACATGAAGTGGTACACTGTAAAATGCTCATCATGTTACGTTCAAGTCACGGAAGAAGCAGTAAATGTAGCACGTGGACGTAAAACATTATTTATTGTTGAAACAAAAGTTTTGTTATGTCGTAATAAAAATGTATTTTTAGTAATTGTAATTATATTTATATATATTTGAACTGCTAAGTCGTTTTTAAGATTTTTGAGTGGACTTTAGCATGACCATTGCTTGCAATTTCATTTACTGAATTTCAGCAATCGTCATGTAAAATATGATACGCATGCAGGGTGAATTGGTGACATAGTTATAGGGTGACCCCAAGATTAATTTAAATGTACTTTTACATTCTACCTACTTTCCAATAATCAATCTTAGTGGAACCTATGCAAGACTATAAGTGCGTACCTAAACACGCTACCTACCCGGTACCTGCAAAGTATGTTATGTATACAAGAGAGCTCTTGGGTGATGTAATCTTCTAAGATTGATAGTGATAATGCCTACTATGCAACAACTAATCAAGGAGTCTTGAGGGCGTTACGACATGTTTCTCTAGACATATGTTAACCTAATTAGATGCGAGCTTCCTCTTAATGTTATTGTATCAAAATAGTTAAAAAAGTACCCAGTGCGTATACAGGGTGGACCAATTTCTTTTCATTTTTATCTCCAGACATTAGTTATGATGTTTAATTCACTCTCCTTTTAGTTGACACATTTCTGAACAATTTGGCAAAATCCTCTTCAAGAGTTTATGGATTTCTTGTTTTTTCAAATATTTGAAACTGAAAACAATGTATTTTGTGTGATGTGTACTTGCCTCGTATACTCTAAATGTTGGTCAGTGCATTGGACCAAGACGTGTTTGGTTAAACATAATCAACTCAAGAACTTATTATGAAAATTAGAATAAAAAAGGGACAGAAATGAAATTGTGCTACTAAATGGAGATTTTTAATCAAAATGTGCTTTAGTAATTAAGCCTCGTGAAGGTTGTATTGATAGGAACCGGATTTTGAAGTCCGTAAAATTCCAATGGGATGGCACAAATGGAAATGGATTTGTAAGTGGCCCTGATGACGGTAACATTGGGACGTGAGAATGTTTGAGTTCTTAACGAATTGATTTGCCGTATTATGATATGACTTGTTATTTAGCGCTTAACAAATTGGCATCTTAACGGAAGTGATATTTACGTAAATGTTTCAATTTGCATGCGATTTCACCATGAAAACATCTTACTTATAAGCCCCGATGACCTAACGTAGATGTTAAAGTTAATCTGAATCCCTTTTTGTATCCAAGTTAGTATACATTTAATATGGGATATCATCGTGAAAGATGAAGGTCATGCCGCAGAACAACATGGATTGAGTACCACCAGGTTAGGCCAAAATGACTTAATCATTTAATTAGCATATTTTTAAAAAATGACCAGATAACCAAGCTTTTTATTTTAGTTCCAAATCGCAATTAAAACGAGAGAATGCTGTTGAGCCGTTAAAATATAGAAAAGAGTTTAACCACAGAGGTTTTGGGATAAGCGCCGGTGAAACGTGTATTTATTTGTAAAGGCCTTGGAAAGGTAGGTGGAATCCAGGTCTGATAGGGGAGCTCTAAGATCCCGCGAAACGATTCTCTGCTCTACGAAAACAGCGGTGGTTACCCTGGTGTAGTCGAGATTCTAATTTGGCTTTTGTGAGCGCCAGACATAAAACATTTCTCCTTCAATACAAAAACCTAGGCCTCTAGGCTTCTAAAATGACTCGAATCATATAAAATTAGTAGATGCACGAGTTTTATGGATAAGAAATTTCAGTTTGAGAGATGTATGATATTATATAAATGACATATTCTAACCTATATTCTAAAGCCTTGAAGAATAACTCAGATGCAAGTGGGTAGTTACCCGTTTCACCGCCAGGTGGCTCGTTCGGGTCAGACAGCATGGCGGGTATAGTAGGAAGTTCCCTTTTAAATATTTATATGTTTTAGTCGTTCAATTTTCATGATATCACTTTTATGTAGGCCTATCTAATTAGTTATGTAAATTAAAATATGTCCAGTAAAAGAAAATGTTACCTCTCCAATACATGAAAAGATATTTAACTTTTTGTGATTTTATAACATGGGGTCTATGGATCGCGAATCTCCCCGAATTAGAAGTCAAACAAAAAATGAAATTTTCAAAGTTGATAAACAATTTTCGAAACCATTTTTCTAGAAGTACCTTTACATGTAGATATCAAATATGACATCACTTTGACTGACTTTTGATTATTTAATGACGTAAATTAAGATTTTACTACTCGCATCTTGTCTATCGCGTGGCGTTATGTGTTTAGGTCGTAAAAGGAATCGAAACAATATGCCCTCAAAAATATAGGAAATGAATTTGTAAAGATAACCTTTGTTGAAAACAAAGAAATATGTGTCAATAAATACATGATTGCAAGTTTATTACTAGATATAATTGATTTCTATACCTGGATTTACGTTGATAATCAAAATGCCAGTTATAACGGAAGAAATTATAATGGTATTCATTGATTCAATACTTGATAAGACCCTTTATTATATAGGAAAGGTTATTCAACACTTAATAGGCAAATACGAAAATATATTAATCCAAATGCTATTAATATTTAGCATTACCTGAGCTTATATGATATTAGGTGTTGAATAGAGCTCGATTAAGATAAAATAACGCAATCTTTTTATTTGTCCTATTTTTCACCATGATGAAATGTTGACTATACTAATGTAAATGATTTATAAGTCATCGGTGCAGTGGCAATTTCAGAGAAAATTATTACTCAGGTTTGTTTCCAGATCAGGCCAGGTTGTTATATTTAGTATTTTGGGCAGATGGTAGAATAGCCAAGTTGTCATATTTAGTAGGCAGGTGAGACAGGAGTAGAAAAGTTCAATTGTCATATTTATAAGTTAGGTGAGTTGTAGAATGGACAGGTTGTTATATTTAAGTATTTTAGGGAGATATGCTAGAATAGCCAAGTTGTTCACGGTATTTGGTAATTTGGGGATATGGTAGAATGGTCAAGTTGTTGTATTTGGTAATTTGGGGAGATGGTAGAATGGCCAAGCTGTTGTATTTGGTAATTTGGGGAGATAATAGAATGGCCAAGTTGTTGTATTTGGTAATTTGGGGAGATGGTAGAATGGCCAAGTTGTTGTATTTGGTAATTTGGGGAGATGGTAGAATGGTCAAGTTGTTGTATTTGGTAATTTGGGGAGATGGTAGAATGACCAAGTTGTTGTATTTGGTAATTTGGGGAGATGGTAGAATGGCCAAGTTGTTGTATTTGGTAATTTGGGGAGATGGTAGAATGGCCAAGTTGTTGTATTTGGTAATTTGGGTAGATGGTAGAATGGCCAAGTTGTTGTATTTGGTAATTTGGGGAGATAATAGAATGGCCAAGTTGTTGTATTTGGTAATTTGGGGAGATGGTAGAATGGCAAAGTTGTTGTATTTAAGTATTTTAGGGAGATATGCTAGAATAGCCAAGTTGTTCACGGTATTTGGTAATTTGGGGATATGGTAGAATGGCAAAGTTGTTGTATTTGGTAATTTGGGGAGATGGTAGAATGGCCAAGTTGTTGTATTTGGTAATTTGGGGAGATGGTAGAATGGCCAATTGTTGTTGCATTTGGTAATTTGGGGAGATGGTAGAATGGCCAAGTTGTTGTATATGGTAATTGGGAAGATGGTAGAATGGCCAAGTTGTATTTGGTAGTATGTCCGGAGATGGTAAAATAACCAAGTTGTCACATCTAGTAGTATGGGTAGATGGTAGAATAGCCCCGTTGAATTACTTATTGTAAGGTGAAATACAAGATGTCCAAGATGTCATTTTAGTATTATGGTGAGATTGTTGAATAGTCAAATCCTTAAATGTATTTGAGTAATGACATGATAAAACAATAACCAAGTTGTGTAGTAGTTCTGAATGGGATAACCTTACTTGTATATTGGATATCCATTCTAGTTAAACCCGGGTACATCGACTAGATTCCTTCGATTACAACAGTAGCTTAGATATGCAATATTTGCCACGGGATTACCCTGGTTATGTCCCTACTCCCAGTGCAAGAAATATTCCAATTATATTATTCATGAGAAAATATTGCCAATGGAAAATATAAACTGCAATGATTCCATCGATCGAAAGATAAAACGAACACAAATAAACACTCTCTAGGCGTAGGAATATACGGAATGTTATTTTGATATACAAAGGATGTGACTGGTGAGTAAACAGCACAGAAGGATCTTGTTTTGAACCCTATAGGAGCTGAAATAAAATCAACGCTGCGAAAGAGGTTATACTGTTATCACATTCTTTTAGTGGCTAGAGAACTGCTCGCAGAACGTTGCAGTGTTCCAGTAGCTATTAGGATTTCAGACAATCAAGAGTCAAGAGGCTTTGGATGATAAATACACATTACAGGTAAGTAAGTATACGATGCTCCTACATTGCATGATCGTTTGTTCGCTAGATGTTTGAACAGATTGACAGGTAATTTAAAGGATTCCAACAATCGCGATGGAATTCTGCAAGTTTATACTGCGGTTACAGCTGGTAAGATAGTTATCATGCCAGGTTGCGAGAAGATAAGTAAAATATGGATTAGTACTTGTCAGAAACCTTAGGGCATGCTTAAATGGTGTATTTAAGATATATGCATTCGATACATTTTTTCCTGTCGAATTCACAATATCTGGGGTAGATTTCCTATATTTAGGTGCATACGATAATAAACTTGTATGTTACATTAGGAAGTACTTTCTGTTCTTTGAATGTGAGTATGCAATAAAATTCATGCCGATTTATCAAGGAGATTGTACATCTTTGGGTGTAACTTAGGGATAAGTTCTACTAACTTGAAGTTGAAAATATGTGTAATGGTACATTTATACCTTAATATGGATTCGATCACAACACTTTCTGATGTAGCGGAATTCATATCGTGTGTTGTAAACTATAGATATGAAGTGATCCTGTGTATAACCAAAGAAAGTACTTCGATTACTGTACTTGGAAATAAAGGCATTGATACATTTTAGATAGCATACCATAGATAATTCAGAGGTGTAATACTGCAGTTCGTGATACATTTATACAAAGATACATTTTGTAAGATAATTCAGAGGTGTAATACTGCAGTTCGTGATACATTTATACAAAGATACATTTTGTAAGATAATTCAGAGGTGTAATACTGCAGTTCGTGATACATTTATACTAAGATACATTTTGTAAGATAATTCAGAGGTGTAATACTGCAGTTCGTGATACATTTATACTAAGATACATTTTGTAAGATAATTCAGAGGTGTAATACTGCAGTTCGTGATACATTTATACTAAGATACATTTTGTGAGATAAGTTTCGTGTGTGAGGGAATAAGTGAAAGGGAAGGGGGAAATCTCACCAAGTTATTTAGCAAACTATCCTGCGCTCACAGTCTACCGAGACAAAGCTCTCTTTTAAGAAGTGAATTTGAACGAATGCAAAGGGTAAGGAAACACTATTTAGCCCAACATACACTAATGGGCACGGTGCTAACATTGCGCATTGCGTGGGACGTCGCTGGACTTCATTGGGACTCTTGAGACTCCGGCACGGCCATGTTATTAACCCGCGAGACTACTTTCTAAAAAGGACTATGAAGAAATGACTTTTTGTTCTCTTTGATTCTTTTATTGATATGATTCCAAATGACCGATATTAACTCGACGACATACTTGCCATGAAACATTTTAACAATGCAATCCTGCCTACAGATTGACTTCATTACTGCCAAGAATATCGCATTTGTCATTCCAGAGTCTCACTCTTCTATACATACTTTGTTTGTTGGTGATATATGAAGATTGTCAACAGGAATGCCAAATGTTAATCGGATTCTTAAAGGCCCCATATAAAGTTTAAACCACTTTGGCTTATATTGTAGTCTTACCCAATGTTATCAAAGTGTGATATGTGAAACTTTTTTTTTTAATTTCAAAAAGTGGGTTTTGATAGACTTTTTGTTCCCAAATTTGGGAATTTATTTAAAACCAACTTTTAAAGGTCACTCATATCTTCTAATTAGCCACAATTCATACCAATGCATAGCATTCATCCTCTCATGTTTTTGCCGAAAAAATTAAGAAAATCGGTTCATAAATAAGCGAGAAATGAACTTATCAGTGCATGAAAATGGTTCTGAGAAAAATGCATTTCAAAATTTTAGTTCTCATAGAAACCAATGGTACAATGATATCTAAAACATAATTTATTCTTCATTTTAACTTGGTTAGACAATCAACATTGGTTTTTATGAAAGTTTAACATATTTAGAAAAGATTGACATCGAAAAAAAAATTTCAATTTTTTTCAAAAAGTTTTTGGTACCTTAGTGACATCACTAATGTTTCAAAATATTTTTGATATGTTAAAACATTGAAGTGGCCCATTAAATATGGTATTTTATTATTAAAATAGTGTGTCCTTTGTTCAACCTTTGCATTGGTGTTAAAAAGATAATCTTTTTTGAAATGCATTAAGAAATATTTGATGATTAAGAAATTTCAACTTTTTTTGAAAAATGGCGGGAAATTTGAATATTTGAGAAATGAAATGCTCACAACTTTTTTTTCAAATTTTTTTTTTGTTCAAAAATCTCTAAAATCACTTTTTAAGTCCTGACGAATAGTAAATGAATGATAAAAAAATATTTTCAAACTTTAGACGGGGACTTTAAGTATTTTGGATTTTAGCTCAGAGATTACCCTTTGCATTCGTTCTACTTCACTTCTTAAAAGAGAGCTTCGTCTTCAGTAGTTTCTATATAACTAGACTTTGCGCGCAGGATACTCTTAGATATATCCGAAGGCTAGTTTCTATGTGGTTTTGATGATATTGTAAATTGATATAATGAGTATATATATTTGTTACATGTTATGTAGATACATTTACACGTTTTGGAAGAACGCATTGTTCAAAATAATGAGATCTTGATTAAAGAAATTTCCTCAATTACTTCAACTTTTTGTGGAGGTAATGATAATCGTGTTCACACAATTTTGACTAAGATATTTAGGTTCGTTCACATTTGGCCGCTTTATTGACTTATCTGTTTGATATATCAGCTATCAATGAATTCAGTTTGGATTGTGACATATCTTTGGGGGGGGGGGTTCACTTTTGACAATTTGGTCCAAAAATAGCCAAAATCACTTACAATGTGCTCAGAATGATGAAAAACTGTATGATTTTGAAAGAATTTTTGGCCATGGGGTTCGAACCCATCGAACCCCCTGGCCACGGGTCTGTCTGTTGATAGTTATTTGTTTTCGCCCATTAAATAATCTTCAAAAAGGAGGAGAGGCATTGGAATTACCTAAAATATTTTTAATTCATAATGATGGATGTAACTTTGATGTTATAAACCTTCTTTCTGTCATTTCCTAAGCTCGAAAAAATAACTCGATCATCTAGAAAATGATTCATTGTCTTTTCAAATTAAAAAAGGTAGTAGTAATATTTCAATTTGAACTTGTTTTTCTGTTTTGCAGGCGAGGCATTTCTCTTAAGCTTTAATATTTTTAGAAAAAAGAATTTGATTAAGGTCTATTGATGGAGAAATTACTGATCATTATGAATTCAGAACACCCTGGGGTTACTCGGGATCAGAATAATAGACACTGTACTCATTTATTCAAAAGTTAGCAATAACGTTTTTGATTGAAAGACTTAATTACTACTATGAATATTGCAAGCTATGGTTATTATGCATCCTTGTTATTTGCGATCTGTTGTCATAGATTGGTTTAGATGGCAAGTTTTCCTCTCGAATGAATACGTTACACTCGATATCATAAATATAATTGATTAATATACCTCATATCAAAGACGCATCAACTTTTTCTTATGAATTATGAACACTTGACCAGCTTCGCAAATGAAATATTACTTACGAATAGAGGGGTTTCTAAATAACAATAGAATCTCGCTAATTCTCGTTTTTTCATGAGTTTTTAAGAGATTTGCACTTTTTACCTCCATACTTACTTTTTTATTTTTGTTAGCATGTTTGAATTCAGTGAAAATTGTTCTCTAATAATAGCTTTGATTTACACAGTTATGTCATTTAAATTATTTTCCATGGCATTTAAAAAAACTTGGGCCAAATCTCCATTGGTGCAATGCAAAAATGTATTAAAACCTTGGTATGACAACCAACATTTTCATGTATAATCACAATATGTACATTGACAGGATCTCCCAATAGTATGCGATTCGGGTTTCAGACAGATTCAATATACCTTTTGATAAACCATGAAATTAAGTGACTATTGCAAGTTTCTAGGATTGAAATGAATGATGGTCTGGACAAAGTAAATCAAAGACAAACAAGGGTGACATCTATTACCTCAGCGTTATTCAGCTATTGAGAAAATATACAATAACGCAGATGCGAGGTAGGTAGTTACCAGTTTCACCACCAGGTGGCTCTTTCGGGTCAGATAGCATGGTGGGTATAGTAGAAAGTTCCCTTTAACTTAGATTACATCTGTTTTAGTGGTTCAATTTTCATATAACCCTTATGTATCTAATAGTTATACAAATTAAAATATGTCCAGTAAATGAAAATGATCTGACCAATACAAGAAAAGATATTTCACTTTTTGTGATTTAACACGGGCTCTATGGAGAATCAACCTAGAAGTCACACTTTCAAAAATAATTACATTTTCAAACTTGATAAACAATTTTCGAAACCATATTTCTAGATGTACTTTTACATGTAAATTTCAAATATGACATCGCTTTGACTGAATTTTGAATATTAAATGACGTAAATCAAGATATTTCTACTCGCATCTAGTCTATTTGCATTGAACGGTGTATGATAATATTCAGTCTGTGTTTTATATCAGATGTGTTTGATGTTTATTTATAAACAGAAGTAACCTTCTTATCATCAGTATTGAGAATCCTCATCCCAATTTTTCGAAATCCTCTTAGATCTATCAACACCTGATGATTTGTATGACAGGGATCGAGATTAACTTCCTGTTATATACATCCAGAGATAATACACCCAATAGATTTACTTCGCAATCTCCACTGAGAAAAGCGTTGATATGTATATACTGAGTGTATTTATCTCGGGCATAATGAAAGAAGTCGTTATGTTTCTGGTCAGTATCATTTACTCAGTTGGAGGGGTAACTAATCTCTGCAATGAATACACCTTTCTTCTTAACCGCTAACTAGAGTTTTACCTTGTACAAAGGTGGGTGTTCTACAATTTCCTGAGTTCTCAAATAATGCTAGAGCTAATATATATGGCAAACAGATTCAGTGTTTTCCAGTTTCATTTGCAATGGAAATGATTTGATTAACAGAAGAGCTTCATGTTTTCACAAACGTTTTCCTTGTTACTAGATTGGAATTA